CGCCGCCACTGTCACCGTCGACCGTCGACACCGTCGACGCCGCCGACGCCGGACGCGATCTTCTCGCGCGAACCGAGCGGGAGATCCATGATAGAATAGGCGCGCGTGTATTTCCACCTTTTTTTCCCTCTCTTCCCATTGCGCCCTGCGCCCTGTAATAAGTCGCAATAAAAAGTCGACCGCGAATCTCACCGCATAGTTCATTATCGCCGCTCCGATCGCAGTTCTCTATCGCTACCTCCTTCGTTAACAGGTGACAATTCTCAAATACGTAATGTCTAGTTTTTATTTAATGTAGGCTACGCGAGGGATGTTTAGTACTTTCGGATTGCACTTAGTTCGGAAGCAATGTAATGGATGCAATGTAATAATGTCCTTAAGAAATTAATCAATCATAATTGAATGTGAGAAGTACAGTCAGCTATGATTGGTCAGTTTCTTAGGACTTGCTACACTTATTATGTTTCGGGACGTAAAAACTGTTGATTCAGATGTCTTAAATTTGATTTAATTTAATTGTATGATGATAGTGGTAGTACATGAGAAATGAATTCGATAATAAATTTTAAACCGTGTCTTACGTGTTTATTCGGTGTAAAATGAAAAATTTCTCTATTAACGTATCCCTCATTATGTTTCATAGCGAACACCTATAACAGTTTCACGTTCATTAGTACGGTACCTAAATTGCAATGTTTGGTTCTGAGCGTGACAAAGAATACGTCGGGTCGACAGATTTTCTAAAGCAAATTTCTTTTGTCTGCGCGCAGCCCGCTGTTACATTATGATAATTGGAGCTCTTAATGTCGAAATAAAAATTGGAAAAACTCTTGGAAACTTGAGGAAATCTCGGAAATTCTTTATGTAATTGAAAAACTTATGATTTACAGTTAATTAGTCAATTATAAGAAATAATAGTTTGAATTGATCTCGACAGGCATAATAAAAAAATTAATAAACGGAAGAGATTTATCAAAATTTCACAAGATTGAAATTTGTATATACAGATTGAAGTAGTCTATATACAAGAAAATTTCATCTAAAGCTCTATAATCAAATTATGAATCTGTTATTGGCTGGCGAAATGTCAGTTTCAATTTGCATTTCTCTCGTACGTTTTAGTTTCTTAATAAAAGATATTTATCGTCATTTTAATCGAGGCATCAATTTGCATAATTTCTTATTAAGCAATTGTTTAAACAAATATGAAAATATAAAATTATCGACGTGTCTTCGTTGATATAAATTTGACTAATTAATAATGAAATATAAATCTGCGAGAATTGTTTAATTATTTAGAAAATAAAAATAAAATAATACGAGTAATACAATGCGTGCAATAGTTGAGACTATATTGCAATACAAGGAACAAAAGACATAATTGTAACGCTCTACTAGTTGCCAGTTATAGTCACCGATTGACGGTTCTATTTTAGCCAATTACATTGCAGCTAGTCCGTACTCGCTACATCTGATTGACTAAAATAGAATTTACAATCGGTAACCGTAATCGGCAACCTGTAGTGTAACGCGATTAGGATTTAAGTGCTTAAATATATTACTTTTTAGATTTAACGTTTTGATTTTATTTCTTTGAAATGCTAATTTACATAATTGACCATTGTAATATTTCCTGCATCAATAAGTATGGATTGACACAGAGCTTATTTATACACTTTACGATATGCTTGATGACCCCGTATCGCATCATTATATATGTGTATATATATATATATATAATGATATAAATATTTTGACATTAATCTTTAACATTTTCCATAAATCCGCGTCCGTCAATGCTGGTAAAGGCGGTATGTTGCAGAAAAATTGTTCCTCTTAAACTTCACAGCGGTTTTGTCGTGAAATTATACGCGAAATCCACCTTATCGTTTTTTCAAAATCGTATGTTGCATTATTCGCAATTACACAATCGTGTTACTTCTGTATATTTTAGATAATATCAAAAAATATAAAATTAAGATAAAATAATGATATAAAATTGAATAAAAGTAAGCCAAAAAGATAACTTTTTTCTATAATAATCTAATGATTTATAATTGAAAATATAATTCTTATGTCAAAATAAAAAATTGCTAAGCTCTAATCTAATTTAATAATTAAATGTTAAAAATTAAATAATTTAATAATCAAATATTAATAATATTTGGATTTTAATGTGAAAGTCTCCTTTTTCATCGCGTACCACTTGGTCTTCTTTCATATCTAGAAAAAGCAGGGAAGTCTGATAGATTTCATGCATCAGATTTCTATACAGCTCTTTCACATTTCTCACGATGTTCGTCTTAGTTTTTATTAATAAATTTCGAGCAACCGCACCCAGAATCGATCTCGAAGTTTTGGCACAGTAACCTTTCGCGAATTCCAAGTCATCGATTTTTATGCGAACAATATTCACTCGTCTTATACTGGGCTATTTTTACGACTCTAACAGAATGACCCCGAAATCTAGATCTAAGACGCATCTTCAGCTTATGTCCGTGTCTTACTAATAGTGATTAATAGTTTATATGCACGCCATACATTATTAAACGGAACTTCATCCTTAAAATTTATTCTTTAACTTTAAGGATTAGAGCACAGAGTCTTGCATAATGCATAACTTAAGAAAATGCATAAGAAAATGAACCAATCAGAATCCTTTATTTCTTTCCTTTCCGTGAAATAAAAGAATCTGATTGAATTGATTTTCTTGTGCTTTATACCTTATGCGTTCTGCAAAGGTCTGTACTCCAGCCTTAAATCTTGGGTCGCTTATATCAGACTTGCCTTATCCCCTTACGAATCCATTGTTTAATTGCGCTATTTTTCTTCCACGTGGGATAGATCTATGCCAAATCCGATAATGGTTTGATTATGTACCGACAAATAGTTTTTTGCGTCAGTAACAAAAGTTTAGTTATTCATACAAAACATTTCTCTCAGTGAATCTTCAAGATTTTTGCAAATGCGAAACAAGATAATTTCATCCTTACCGTTGAATATGGCTATCATGCATATTTGGACGTTCTCAACAATTTCGACAATAATTATAATACAAAAAAATATGGTTAGAATTGATTCTACTCATTTTGTTCCGCTAACTCGTAAGATGTCGGATATTCGCACATTGTAATGTCCATTCAGTTGTAAAGACGGAACTAATTATCCGATCGGAGGGAACATTGATATAATCGATAAGCGCGCCGTATGTAATTATATAGAATGTTAAAAATATCACGCTTTATTTTACATTACGTACACCCTGCTCGTTACCAACCGAACGCATTATTGTACGCATTATTGTACGCATTATTGTATGCGCAGTTTTCGTTCGTACGAAGCCGTGAGAGTGTGATCATGTGGGAAATATTTTGCAGTTCTCCGTTCGAAAGAGAGTTTCGCGGTTCCGCCGATAAACGCGAGATTTTCGAGAGGAAGAAGTCGAGCGAGACGCGGCGGCAAATCGATAGAGGAAACGCACGATGAGACGTATGATGAGGGAGAACGTGCCGGCGATGGTGTAACCTCGTGGCTCGTGGGTCACTGGACATAAAAAGAGCAGAGGGAAGCTGGAAGAGACATCTTGTCCGTGGGCTTTCGACAATTTAAGCGGCGGCAGGATCAAAGGTCATGGCAACGCCGCCGGACTCGCCGGGACCGGAAGAGGCGTTCTTCGACTTCGAGAGCACGAGGGCGAGACAACAGACCACCAGACCGGTACCTATAGAGGAACTTCTGCGACAGACCAAGTTCTCCCGCCAGGAGATCCGAGTCATGTACCGAGGCTTCAAGCAGGTACGTTCCTCTTGACCTATCAGGCACCATCGATCCCTCTCGGGATCGGACTCTCTCGAATTGGCAAACGCGAAATTATGCAGGGGGCAAAAGCACCTTTATACCGTCGTATTCATCGCAATTTTTATCACACCTTCGTTGTAATATGCAAATGAGCTTTGCACTTCGCTGCAAAGCGCTATCAATTTATTTTCATTTCATCACTGAGCTTGCAACGATTTTTTTCTTTTACATACGGGATTTTCTTTAATTTATTCGAAATTGTTTTATTGGCACTCGCACAGTTGTTTTGCATTTTTAATTTGCGATTGAAAATTTCAACTGATAAAACTGACTCGCATCCAAAAAGCAAAAATGTCAAAGAGAAAAAGATTTCCTGATAATAATTTATTTAGAACGTTTCAAAAGTTATTAATTCTCACGCTCTTTGTGCTTGTTATTGAATATCTTTGAATATTTAACGTAACAGAATTTGTCGAATGTTACGTTCTATCGAAAAACAAATGAAATGTGATCAATGAGTCATATCTGTTACTTCAACTTCGAATTATGCCGAAGGCAAGATTCCTGAGCATCGTTTTGTTCGTTATTGCAAGATTGTAACAACGGTTGGTAGCTGATATAGCATAGTTCGTATTAGTATTTTTAACTCTTTCTTTATTAAAGATAGTCTCGCAAAGTATTGATTATTCATGGGCATCCCACAGAAATTGTGTTAACGCGGTTACGTAAATGAATTGATTATAGCGCTGTTGGACTCAATCATCAGTAAAAAGCATTTCTTTCCAATCGATTTGCTGCGTTATCATCGAACATTTGGTTAACCTTAACTATTTGTAGTAAACGAATTTTACATCGAAGTTATTCGTAAATTATACTTCGAATATAAAACAAACATTTTATTATAATATTAAACAAATCTGATATTTCTGAGACATTTTCGAAAATCAATTAACATGGAAATTATGGGGCTAATCAAACTCGATTTGTGGAAGAAATGTGGGTGAATACATCGATTTGAATTTTCACGCAATTTCTGTAGCAATGAGTGAAGGTAAGACAACGAAGTACAAATTGCGTTAGCAACATGGAAACGATTGCAGGGGGTATAAGACATTTATATCGACCTAGAAAACTTTTGGATGCGTATCCGATTGTAAGAAACAGTACAGCAGTAGAAACTACTTGCATAGCGGTAACAGAAAAATGCTTGCATAACAGAAAAATAATAGAAACTTGGCACTAGAAATAAGTTCGTATAAGCCAGAAACGGATTTGGCTCTCTTTCCCATCACAGTTTTATGGCTAAATTTTACATCACTCGCGTCTATTTCTATCGATAGATATACGCGATAGAAGTTTCCAATAGATTTTAACAGAAGCGATTGTATCCTTTGTAATATTGAATTAACTAACGAGCTATTAAATGAATATAATACTCATATTAAGTTCCTGATAATTTATTTGTGCGCAGACTAACTTGTTTTAAAATCAAATCTTTAAAATTCATATTTTCCCTCTCTCTCTCTTGATTATATTTTTCTCTTATACAGATATTTATATAATATTTTTGTTTTTGAAGAGCGCTTCAGAGGAATTTATTCCCAGAGCACTAAATAAATGATTTCTCTCTCCCTTTTTAGTTTAAATAAATTATTTATACGAGAACGTTAACATGCCGATTACACGTATATTTCTTAACAATATTTTCAAATGAGTGCGCTAAATGATGAAACACTGAAGTGTCATCGGCAAATATCTGCCATGATCATTCATTCATGGACGTAATTACATATGGGATGCCACTTACTCTACTGTTAATCCAAACCAGCCGAAGTGGTCCATGTCGATATTGAATCTACGGGCTCGTTACATGTTCGCGCTTTGCGGTGCATAATTTTTCGCTGGCGCACGGTTCGGTGAAACTCAAAGCCGTGCACGCTTCGGAATTCTGTGCGGTCCGTTACTTTCACGACTCTCGTAAAATATTCACCAGCGAGCGATCGCCAGCGAGTTGTGGCGGCCGAAGCGACGGTCAGTGCGGTAGCCAATCCACCTCACGATGTGCGGTCTCTCCAAGGCTCCCCAACGTAAATATCTGCAAGTTCTCGCGGTTGTTTTGTACGATATATTCTGGAAATGACGTGTATCTCTCGCTGGCAAAACTATACTCGACTACGTCGTAGTGCGATATCGTGACAACACATGTGTTGTAATAACAACACAAAGTGTCCGTTTATCGTTATGCATTAGGTGCGCAACTAAGTTCTCGCTGTTATTTTGATGCATTCTTCATCAAAATAACAGCGAGAACTTAGTTGCGCACCTAATGCATAACGAGGGTACCATACAGAATGAACGTTTTGACTCCACTTCGAGCCACATTCTTCAGCATACGTGATGTAAAAAACTATTTTATACCTTTTTATAGCCAAATTGTCAGACGAATAGAAAGTACGATGTGAGTCATCGACAATTCACGCGACCCGTATGCCGTATATTGTAATCTATAAGAATTGACCAATCACAGTCGAGTATTTCCTTCTTATTCGACTGAGAGGAGAATACTCGCGTACACAGAATATGGTCGCAAGTCATGAACCATAAAAATAAATTAACCAATCATCATAGTCAATTAATTTTTCCCATATTCAACTGTGATTGGCCAATTTTTTACGGCATGCGACCCTATCGTAGAACAGGCATAAGACATCTTGGCATACGTAACGTGTTGCATATATATAACACTGATGTTATATGCTGCATTGGACGCTAATGTTACCTACGTTCAATCATACCGTAGCACCTTTGCCCTTAATATTAAAAGCGGAGATTAAGCAAACACGCAAGCACATATTAGTAGCAATCCGTTGCAGAATTTAAGATTATTCACTCTCTCGACAGGGTGGTTCAATTTACCTAGTGGGACGTGGACGAGCTGTCCGGACGCTAACTTATTCAGTAGCCGCTTACACAACGACTCGCGTATTGTTGTATAACGCGAAGGTGCTATGGAATGGCATAAGCGCGAACTAAGCCGTCCCTCGGCGCTTTTTCACGGCCGCCCGTAGATTTCTTCGCAATCGCGCTTTTAACGTTATCGCACGCGAGACCGCTTCGACTGAATTGAGAAAATGCGCCCTGCATTTCTCGTTCGAGGAATTTCGGATACAAGGACGAAGGGCTAACCACACGCTCGCTATCTGATGCATTTCGTTGTTCGATTCTTCCCGAGGATAGGAAGGCTGGGAAAAGAGTGCGAGGACAATCGCGTTTTCGAAACAATGTGCCTCTTGTAATTATTATCAGCTCACAATAGGCGGCGATAGGGCGAACTTTTGAATAACGAGAGGAAGACCGGCATCGGAACAGCATCCTCTATAGTTACGATATCGCACGCTATTGTGTAATATATGTATACATATGTACATCAGATCAACGTGTGAGAGATGCAATCCTATTTTTTATAGGTTGTGCGTCTTAGACTAATGTAGAGACCCTCTAATAAGGATCTGAATACAAGCCGTAGTTTTGTATATCTATACAGGGTAGTAGTTTTAACAAATCACGCGAGAGAGAAGGGCATTTACTATTTTTTTCTTTTTCTCATTCTGTTCTATATTTTCTTCTATCTATTGGGTCATCTAAAAAATATCCGCGGTTTTTTGTCACTAGATGTGTGTTGATGGTCATATATCTAATGACAAAGTACCGCGAATACTTTTTAGATGACCCAATATTTCTCTCTCTCTCTCTCTCTCTCTCTCTTTTTTTCTCTCAGAAATTGTTAAAATGGATCAATCAAAAGTGGCTTTCTCATATCCAAGTTCTTATTACAGAATCTCTAGGATAATGTAGAATCATACGAGTATATTTATGAGCTCTTGCTTGGAGAAAGGCGAATAATACAATTATTGTTCAGTTTGTTGTTTTAACTATTATTAGACTATAAAAATTGAAAGATAAAAAAAGAGAGATAATTGTACCACTTATATCTTATACTAGATCTGTTTTCTATGGCTGAACTACACTTTTGGAATTTAAAGTGAAATATATATAGATATATGTTTGATATTTATCGAAAGCGAGAAAGAGTTCTAATGCAGTCTGGTGCAATAACAGAAAATCATTTAATATAAACCAAAATATGTCGTCACTTTGTCAGTTTTTGTCAATGTGTCATAATTTCTAGAAGGTTTTCTTTAGAATCTTTAGATCACATAGAAATACGTTAAACGTTAAACTATTGAGTCACTTCTATCGTCATATAGTGTGATCATGTATTGGTTACCTCAGACATATATTTTCTTTTATAGAAAAGAATGTGTCGATCACATATATCACGAAAAATGTACACAAATCAGATCGTCAATGTCAAGAAAAGATATCAAAAGAAAAAAAATTGAATTTAACAAGATTAATTATTTGTCTATCGAATGAAAAGATCTGCTTGAGAAAATGAAGGGAAAAATATGGATGACATACTATGTTTTAAGAGCGTATAAATTATGATGTGTTTTGTCTTTATTCTCGAGGAACTACGTAGACATAAGATAGTATCGCACAGATAGTATCGAACGAATAATATGATCCAATTATAGAGCTCATTTCGTACGCAAACCGCAATTATCATACGGTACTTGCGTTAGGATAGATCGTTAAGGTATGTACGTGTTGAATTATCACGTGCTTACAAAGGCGCAAATGCGTATTACATATATAGCTTTGGGGATTGGAACTAATCCCTTGTCAGCTCACGGGTTACCCAAATTCTCGATCTAACCGGTGGGAACGGGTTGCATTATCGAATCGAACTGCACCTGACCTTCGAGATATCTGTGTCAATTCCCTGTCGCATGGTTATTCCGATAATGGAACAAATGAGAAACAGTACGGTAATTTCGAACAGACGTGTTTTATCTGAAATTAATAAATTAATAACTTATACGCAACGTTAATTTTATTCTACTTTTATGAAATCGCATTTTATAATAATAAAA